CTTCACAGTGACAGCCTCATGACTGAAGCCCATCTTCGTGCAGGGAGGGACCACTGTGGCCAGGCCAATGTGATCTGGGGTTGTGAACTCCTCATTCCAACACAGATGCAATCCAGACCCCAGGCGGCTCTTCTGTGTAGCCAGCCACACTGTCACCCAATGTTCCAGAAGCTGACCAGTCCTGAGAAGCCGACCAAGGCTCCCCCACAGTGGCACTCCTGAGAGGAGCCAGGTGCATCTTCTGAGTCCCTGAATCAAGATCTGCCCAGGACTGAATGGCTTTACTGCTGAATTATACCAAACCTTTAAAGAGGAATTAATACCAATTCTCTTCAGACTATTCCAAAAAGTTGAAACAGAGGCTACTCTCCCAATCTCATTCTATGATGTCAGCATCATCTTGATACCAAAACCAGATAAAAATACAACAAAAAAATGAAAACTATAGACCGATATCTTTGATGAACACAGATGCAAAAATCCCCAATAAAATTCTAGCAATCAGAATACAGCAACACATCAAAAAATTATATACCCTGATCAAATGGGATTCATCCCAGAAATGCAAAGATTGTTCAACATATACAAGTCAATAAATGTTTTATACCACATCAACAAAATCAATGACAGAAACTATATGATTATTTCAATAGATGAAGAAAAAGCATCTGACAAAATTCAACATCCTTCATGATAAAGACTCTCAGCAAATTAGGTATAGAAGGAAAGTATCTCAACACCATAAAATCCATCTATAACAAGCCCACCACCAGTATCACCCTGAATGGGAAAACACTGGAGGCCTTCTCTTAAGAACAGAAACAAGACAAGGATGCTCACTCTCACCACTCCTATTTAACATAGTACTGGAGGTACTAGCCAGAGCAATCAGGCAAGAGAAAGAAATAAAAGGGCATCCAAATTGGAAAAGACAAAGTTGAACTGTCCCTATTTGCAGATGACATGCTCCTATATATAGAAAAAACTCAAGACTCTACAAAAAAAATCTTAGAGCTGATTTATAATTTTAGTAATGTTGCAGGATACAAAATCAATGCCCCCAAATCAGTTGCACTTATATTCTCCAATAATGAACTAACAGAAAGAGAGATCAAGAAAGTAAGCCCATTTTCAAGATCCGGTATTCTAGAAAAGACATTTCTCTCCTGGCCCCTGGGAAAGTGTTACCTATTTGTGAGGGATACTTTGCAGATGGGAAACTTACTCAATAGATTGTTTCTAATGCATTTATCTGAACAGGTAGGTTTAAGTTAATAATCTGCTATTCAATTAAACCTGCTTCTTTACAGACTAAAGTTTTAGAAGAAAGCTCCATTGTGTTCCTATAGTAAAAAACGAACAGAAAGCAGGATCCTTTCATTAGCCAACATGGTACATACCTCAAAACCACAAAACATCATCCCCCTCCCCCAATCCCTAACCCACATGGTAGAGCCTGAAGTCTGCCCTTTATAAACCACTACAAATCCCCCCAGCATCATCATCCCATACATACATAAATTTCTAAACTGAAGTATTGAACAAAGGCAACAAAAAAAAAAATCTTATTCATCGCTCAGTCCATGAAAAAGTGGCCTTTCTGTGTCTCACTATTTAAGCAACTAGAAAGCTTATGGCTGAGCTATCAAATCCTCAGGAGCATGAGCAAATCTGCTGGCATTTTATGAAGTCCAAAAGTCATAAGTGCTGGCATGGTTTTATCACATTAGCAGTAAATTCGGATTGATCTTTTCTATTCATGAGCTGTGAGTGAGCTTCTCCTGAAAGTCCTCATGAAATGAGGGTCTAGGCCTCTCCCCGATCTCACCCAGGGTTAACACACAACACTGTGGTTGCTGCTTCAGATCTTGATGGTGTTTTTGCTAATTCTTATATAAGAATCTCAGAATCAAAGGCTGAAATGAATCACTCACTCTCGACCAGGCAAGAATGCACTGAAAATCTCATTAGCAAAATCTCTCAACCAAGTACACTTGGGTAAATTTAAGAGAACATATAAATGTAGCCAGCCAGCATCCCAGCCCTGGGAAGGGAAGGAAGACCTC